CCTGACCCACCACCAGCCTTCCAGAACCTTCAGCTTGCACAACAGCAGAGAGAGGCACTTGGAACAGAGAGAGATGGCTGGACAGACGAGGTACCCTGGCTGTCATAGCTGACATCTTGGGGCTCACGACTTGTTCCCTGATTCTCTGAGCAGCAGAAAGAACCACTACAGACAACACTGACATGCTCACCTGAGGAGGCCGCCTGTGTCTGTTCATTCCACCCTGACAGCAAGCCAGTCAGGAGGCACTGAGACTGCTCCATTTAACAGCAAGCCAGCCGGGAGGCACCACAAATGCCCATTTAACAGACAAGGACACAGAGGCTCCAGAAGAGAGTGGACAGCTTTTCTGGTCATGAGGTGCAAGGGCAGTGTTGGACCTGGCTCTCAATGGCAACTCTACAGGCTCAGAGAGGTTTAGCACCTCTCCAGGTGGCACGGTTAGTGAGCAGGGGCCTCTGCCCTCCACTGCCCTGTGCCAGGTCCCAGGCTGGCCTTCCCAGAGTGCCAGCGCTCTCTGCAGGGGCTGGCAGGCATTCTCCTGCTTCCTCTTCTCTGGCTTGACGTCAGCCCTGAACATTTTACAAAAAAGTAAGGTACAGTGGACTCGTCCAGACCACTCCTGACGGGAGCCAGGGGCAGGAGGGATGAGCAGGCCCTGAGCTGTTACTCACACCACCGGGCTCCAGCTTGTTCATCTGTGAATGAAAAGAATGAAAGCTACTGGTCCTCCCTGGGTGAGCTGTGTCCCTGGAGGAAGCCCTGGCAGGGGAGGGAGAGCAGCAGAGGCTGCTGCTAGGACCCTGAGCATTCCGTCACAGCGACCATATTTTAGGGCCATTTCTATAGAAACCATACCTCCATACATCCTTTCCATTTTAAAGGAACACAAAGGAGAGCCAGGAGAATCAGTGATGTTGAGGAGCCCTAGCTCGGTCACCGAGGGGCTTCCTTGTCCAGGCAGCTCACCAACATGACTCAGCCGCGCCGATGCTCTGTGTGTGTGGCCCAAGTAAGAGTGTATTTGCTTTCATTTGGTTCACGTTCCTCCACAGGGTTTCAGAATCAAGCCAGTTAAATGGCTGCAGGACCATCTCATGTTGGGCGGCCCTTTCTGATCTGCAGTCGCTGGTACACAAGGGTCTTACAGGTGGAGTCTGCCTCGCACGCCCCCTGGCTGGGAGCAGGCACACAGGGCGGCCTGTCCAGCTGCCCTGTCTCCACTCCAGCAGGCAGCTCTTCCAGGGCAGACAAGCCAGCTGCTCAGAACTTTCTACCTAATACTGTGCAATGTTCAGTGAGAGTTCAATAGTTATCAATGACAACAGCCACCCTTATGCTCCAGAGAAAACTTGCTAGAACCTATGACCCAGGTTTCACAAAACCTCTGCCCCTCGTGGCCGGGGAAGTCGTGGGTGAGCAGGCAAGGGCTGACCAAGAGCAGAGAGAGCTGGTCTGGGTTCTAGGTGACCAGCCTTGTCATCTCGCAGGGGCCAAAAATTCATCCTACCAGTGAAGACATTCTGTGTCACAACCTGGATGGACACACCAAGTCTTGAGAGGCCTGGGGATGACAGGGGCTGGCTGGACACTTGCTGGAGCTGGCATCGCTCCATGTCCCTCAGCACTGAGGAGCCTGGGTGCTCCTGTTCTGCCAGCCCAGAGCCCGTCCCCACAATGCCAGCCTGGCATGTGGGGGCCTCTGCCTGTGGATGAAGGCATGCCTGCAATAGTGCTGGGTTCTTCCAGATGTGTGACCACAGAGCCCACCTCTGACCCCAAGCACAGAGCCCTGAAACTAGGTCCCCCTCCCAGAGCAAGTCCAGCCTGGTGGTGAGTAGGATCAGTGAGGCACTGTGGCCATGCAGGACCTGTGGTTCAGCATCCCCTGCAGCCCTGGTAAGTCCCTGGGCCATCCAGGGGATGGCATCCCAGTGTGATGCATGAGGCCAGCAAAGCGGCACTTAACCAGGAAGGCAGTGCGGGAGCAGGGGCAGAGCCAGGGGCTGGTCTCTGGGGCAGCCTGACCACAGGCAGCACTCTGGGGCCCGTGAGAAACAGCACAGGGCAGGTCATCCTAACTCCCGGCGGCTCAGCACATCCCTTACTTCTCCCAACAACTGAATTAAATTGGGACAGGGTGAAGGTGAAAACTGCTCTGCTTGACCTCTTGCCCTTTGAGTGACCTTCGTTAAAGTCCTGGCTACAACTTTCACTTCAAGTCAAACTGACAGGAAATGGGTTTCAGGGTCTCAGTCATCTCTAAAAGGAGCTAATGCAGCACTTAATACTTATGGAACAAAGTGGGCACAAATTTTTAAAAATCCGTTTCCTCCTGCTCTGGGGGCTGTCTTAGTAGAGCCAGACTGCAGAGCCATGGACTGCTAGCACCCATGGGCTCACTTGCTCGTTTTAGAACAAGTGAGCACTGAGGGTGGTGAGCGGTGAACCAGATACTCTGACAGCGCTGGCTGGTTAATTGAAATAAGGTCCCCCTTCTCTTCTTCCCTCCCCCTCCTTTATCTTACTCTTGGAAGGAGAGCCAATGCTGTGTCTAGAAATAGAAGGTATTTGTAAGAATAATAATAAAATTACTAAACAATGTGGTCAATCCAGTTCTGAGCTCTGGCCCTTTCACTCTGTTGAAAGGGAAAGGAGTTGGCAAGTGTTAAAGAGATGCTAAAAGCATCCTAGCACCACCAGATAGATGAATGCAAACTGAGATGGGATAATACTATTCAAAGGCTGTTGAAAGCACCCCACTGGATGCTGAGAGTGCCAGTCACATATTTAGCCTGGTAATGACAAGGAGACATACCCACCAAGTTTTGGGGGTCCCTGAGACCAGGCAGTGAGAAGGGAATCCCAATTCACCCCAGTGGGGTGCTGCTTGACCTCCTCCATGCTAGTTCAGGGGACAGATGCTGAGCTCTGAGCTGAGGATGGAGCCTCCAGACCCAGGGAGGGTGCCCAGCGCCTCCCTGTGCACGCCCCAAGGACGTTACCTGGGCGGGAGCACTGCAGGACAGATGAGCCAGGTCCCCGATCCTGGCTGCGGCCCGGGGGTCACTGGAGCTGATCAGAACCGGAGCACTAATTTCCATGGAATGCCTGTGGCTGGCGGCCTGAGAGGACCTGTGTGTCACGCTGAACGCGGTGAAGGAGTGGCGTTTCTTGGCATTCTTCTTGCCATCCACACGCTGTTGAAAGGCACTGACTGCCCCTGTGCTGCTTAAAGTGGGACCTGGGGCCGCACTGGCCACCGCGCTGGGGTCAGAGGGCAACGAGGCATGGCAGCCAGACACAGCAGCTGGGCAGAGCTTGTCCATCTCAATAAGCTGCTTGGCAGAGTCGTTGAGCTAAGTGAGAAAGGGGAGAGGGGCTTCATTAAACAGCAATCACACGCCACACCCCGCTTCCTGAGATCTCCCAGCCTGCATTCACATTTAAAACTGACAATGTGTTCAGACTGGTCCGATCCTTCTAACAGGGCATCTGGTATGAATGGTGCAGAGAAAACACAGCGAAGGCCGAGTACCACCTGAGCATCTATTGAAAAGGTTCTACAGCAGCTGTTTCCCAGGGGCTGGCTACCACATCTGCCCCCATGTAGCCCCATCTTTTCCTGGGCTGCCCCCTTCTGAGGGACCGGAGAGAGAGGAGCAAGGAACTCCCAGCCATCACCTGACAGTCACCATGACAATGGGTTCCTGGCCTGCCTTGCAAATCTGGTCACCCTGGTAGGAGATTTCAAGGCATGTGACCAGAAGGTACTTTCTAACCAGTGGTGGCTGCAGGTGGCACGAAAGTGCAGCCGGTGAACAGGAGCTGTGGATGTTCTCCAGCCTGTCTCAGGCTGTCAGGACCGCGAGCTGATGTGACCCTGGTCCGGGAGGAGTCAATGCTGCAGTTTTCCAGCCACTCAGCAAGGATGCGGGAAACAGCTCCTTCCCTGCTCTCCTGTCTACTCACAAAACAGTGGCGCCTTTACAGGGAGAGCTTGATCCTGGTGGCGCTTATCAAGGAAGGCAGGACGGGCTCAAGTCCCTGACAGCCTGTGGTAACTGGGCACCAGTGCTCCGGGGGCCACACAGGCAGTGCCTGGAGCCTCGGGGCTCTGGGAGGAGAGGTGCCCTGTTCTGCTCGGGGTCTGGCGGGGCCTCAGGTTAGGTGAAGGGTCAGGTCATTGTCTAGGAGCCAGAGCATGCACCCGGCTCCTCCGCCTGGAGCAAGTTTTTCATCCAAGACGTCCAGGGGAGCCCCTTCCCTCTGAGGCTGCACTGGCTCCACCTCGGTTCACCTAGAGGTGGGACCTGCAGCGATGGAAGGAGTGACGCAGAGGGAGCCGGGTTCTGCATGTTCAGTGCGGCCAGAAAAATGTGCTGTGAAAACAAGCTCGGGACCAGCTCCACAAGATGGGTTACATAAACGCCTGTATGCTAGATAAATGTTGGCAGAATTCTATTCTTTTTCTTTTCCTCCCCTCTTTTCAGAAGTTGCAGAAGAAACTGAGTTGATGCCAGTTAGCCCCTAGGACCTGCCCTGGGAACTTAGCCGCTGCTTCTGCTCTCTCCTCACCTGACAGGAAGGGCGTGGGAGCCACGGTGGGGCAGGCTGGGCACATGCCCGTCTGCAGACTAGGCCCGGCTGGTGCAGGGACGCAGCAGCCACAGCGACACCTCCACCAGCCTCCTGATGGGGCCGGCATGCAGCCAGAGCCCACTGTGGCCATGAGCAGAGCCTGGCAGAGTGCGGGATGGGTTCCCAAGGCTGGCTGAGGTTCTGTCCCCAGCTCATCTTTTCTCCTTCCAGACGCCACATTCCCAAATGTCTAGCCTTTGGTCAGAGCACTGTGTGGTCCCCAGGGGAAAGCTTGCCCTGAGAGGTCACTGCTGGCTCTGGTTCCAGCTCTGCTTTCTGAATGCAGTCAATAGAGAAGCCTGGGGCTCTCCCTGACCTGACCCAGAACAGGTGAGAACAGCCAGGAGCCTGTGGGTGGACAGGGATGTCCCCAGTCCCAGGTGATTTCTTCTCCATGGGCTCAAAGGTGGAAAGTCCTCCCACTCTGAAGAAGCACCTGTTTTCCTCGAATTTACTTCCAGATGTGGGCCTTGGCCACAGTTTCCTATGACCAGAGGGAAGCACAGCTGTGTCTTCCTTTCCTCAAGAGGCCTGCAGAGCAAGGTCTAAGGTAGCTGGCCATCCGCAGCCCAGACATGTTGACGGATGCTTTCCTGCATGTTGTGCCAGCCACACAGGGTGGGAAGAGCAGCACACTCCTGAGGGGTCCTGAGGAGTGCGGATTCCAAGTGCCCACAGCAGAGCACCTCCATGGTCCTGCCAGGATGTGGGGGCAGAGATATTCCTACCACAGACCAAAGGCCGGGGTTAGCAGAGCTGAGCCAGTCTTAACACCAGAGACCCAGAGTGTCAGGGTGTCCAGGCAGAGCCAACCACCACGTGCCATCCCCAAGCCAGTCTCACACAAGTACAGTGGGGTCAGAAGTGGCCCTGGAGTCAGTCCCCCTGCTTAGGGCATGGGTCAGGAGTCAGCTTGGTCACCACTGTACACCCACAGTCTCTTCTACAGGGTAGGACTGTGGCATGGAGTGTCCAGGGGAGGGACCGCCAAGGCCAGTGGTGAGGGACAGTGAGGTTCACCAAAGATAAGTCTCCCTTCTTCCTGCTTTGGCCAAGCTGTGCTGGTCAGGAAGCAAGGGAGTGCCCGGCGAGCCAATGCCCTGCATGCTTCCTGCCTCCAGCCGGCTCAGCTTCCCCTGCATGGAGGCCACTGCAGATGGAAAGGCCTCTGGCTGCTGGAGGGGCAGGCAGATCAGGCGGGTTCTCCAGGTCAGCAACTCCCTCCCTGGAGGCAGAGACCCCTCCTTCAGCACTCACTGCCAGGGCCAGCCCCTGCCTAAGCGACTAGGGAAGAGGAAGGCACAGGGCCCTGCTGGAACACAGCACATCTGCAAGCTGGGGTGGAGTGGGGGTTGGGGGCACAGAGAGGGCCAAAGGAAGCCAAAGGAAAGACCGAACAGTGCAGAGTTTAATATTGCAGGAAAGGCATAACCCAAGAGCCAGTTGAGAGAAGGGTGAATCAACAGAGGCCACTGCGGGGGCATTTTCAAGCTTGGGGAATGGACTGAGCAGAGTCTGGAATGAGGCAGAGGGTTCAGATGGGAGCAGAGAGAGCAAATGTGGCAGGGAAATGCACAAAGGCAGGAGGTCCTTGCAGGCAGGTAAAGGCAAACTGAAGTCAGCTTTGCACCTGCCCGTCACCCTGTGCAGGAGTCACACCCATGTCCTTGAGCTGGAAAGTGGGCTGGAGCCAGTGGGGGCCAGGCTGGGAAGGACACACCACCACACAGAGGAATCTGGCATTGGTCAGGAGCCACTGAGGCTCTTATTCAGGGTCACTGCTAGGGTCTGTGTGCCACGGCTTGAGACTTGATAAGTTAAAACATTTTTTAAAAGACAAAGCTCCGCTGAATTGCAGCAGTGGGAGCACAGACACTTCCCTTCTGCAAGGCCAGGCAAATCCTATACACACAGTCCTTGCTGGGCCATCAGCATTTTCACTACAAATACCCAGCTTTCAGAGGGAGGTTAAGAAAAACTTACTCCAGGCCATCACACATGTGATCTAAATCCAGGATTATTTACTTTGAAATGCTTCCTCCAACAGGCTCAGCTGCTCTGCTCTATTTTATGTCTTTTAGTCACTTGCTTCCTCAACAGTCCTACCTCGAAGGCACTAAAGCTCCTGTTCCCTCCCACAGCTCTGCGAGGGGCTCTCCAGAGTGGGCCCCCAGGGCCCAGTACTCTGCACCCACCCTGCAGGGCCAAGTGCGAAACAGAAGAGCAGGAGGGCACAATGGCCCTCATTTATGGGCATCGGGATATGGTCTAAACACTCCCCGCCAACGTGTCTCCACTTGGAAGGTTATTATACAGAAATAATATGCCTGAGGCTGGGCTAAAAGAATTCCCTTCTTCCAAAGTAGCAGACCCGACTGTCGCGCTTAGTTCCACTGTTGCTCTGTTAAGTCAGTATTGGATATTCCATTTTCAAGATCAGGAAATCCAGGCACCAACAGGTCAGGTGTGTGCACGTCCAGCATGCACGGTACCACACGGAGCTGAGCACAGCGCCAGGAGCTGGCAGTGCTGGCCACTGCCTAAGCCACACAGCTCAGCGATGGGCCTGGCAACTGGCACCGCCAACACTGTCCAAGTTGGAAAACTTCTCTCTAGGTGCACATGTCCACACCACATGGGCGCACTGTTGCAGGGCACCTGCAGCTACCAGCATCTGCCCGGGACAGTGGCTCCTGCATCAGGACTGTTCAGAGCAGCCATAACTTCCCATTTCCTCCTACTCCAACTGGGAGAACCAGATGGCTCTGCTCTGCACTGAGTACCCACCTATCTAAAAGAAGTGTGTGTCTATCATTTTACTTTTCATTCAATCCCAGAGGCTTCCCCGCTTTGCTTTCTCCCGCCTCCCTAATTTATCACCAATGCATTTCATGTAACCCACTTGCATCTTCTCTTTTGATTGTAATCTATAAAATAGGGTGCAAAACTGCCATCTCTGGAACATTTTCTCAATCCCTTGAGGTTTTGCTTCCCGGAAATTGTCGACAGTTTGGCCCAAATAAACTCACAAAAATTCTCTATAGGTCTGAATGTTTTTTATATTGACATGACTCTCTTTTCAAGATTCTGTCTCACCAACTTTATTAGCTCAGCTGTGATATTCCTCCACACACAGCCACCCTTTTCCTCCAACCATAGAAACATCTAAAAAAGTCAGAAGAACTGAAGAGTTCCTTCTTTCCATTGTTTAACTGGTTCCACAAGTGGTCCGTTAGAGTTGGCTGTAGCATCCTGGCTGCACCTGAATTGGGAACCAGGTTGAATAAAGAAGGGTCTCCACAGCGACTTACAGGAGCCATGAAACTCCTCCCGAACTCTGAGGCCAACATGGGATTTTGACACGTGGTCTGGGAAAGTGCCACCGGGGGGGCTGTGCAGAGCATGGTTACCGAGAAACCACTAGTTCTGTTGAGAGGACTTAAACTGAAAGTGTGTAGGAGAAATTTTTAAAAAAAGGAATACGACTGGAAAATCAGGCATACAAAGTTAGAGGCATCACACTATCTGCTACCAAACTATACTACAGAGCAGTAGTAATCAAAACAGCATGATACTGGCATAAAAACAGATCAACAAATAATGATAGCCCAGAAATAAACCTACACTAATATGGTCAATTAATCTATGACAAAGGGAGGCAAGAACATGCAATGGGGTAAAGATAGTCTCTTCAATAAATGATGCTGGGAAAACTGGA